GCAACAATGAATGAATGAAAACCCAAAATCTCTGTAAAATGTTCATTAAAATTAATACAATTTAATAATTAAAAAATAGCCTAGTACTGACAATTACAAATTAGTAAATAGAATTGTGACCCAAGAAGTAAATCCGATCACCTGTGGACCTAATCCTAGACAAACAGATGAAATGCATTAGATAGAGGAATTAAAGACTCTTGAGCAAATAGTAGTGGTAAAATTGGATAGATATTTGGGGGGGAACCCCCAAACTAAAACAAAGCAAATACCTCACACCATATGAAAAACACAAGATGAAAGAATGATCTAATATAAACTCTAAAACAATAAAGATTACCAAAAGAAAAAGTGAGGCAAACGTAAAGAGCCTAAACTATGGCTTTGACAATGAAACATAACTGATAGTGTATGTTGAGGAAATAATCTATGTAAGGAGAGTTAGACTATAAGAACTTTCTAGACATTAAATCCTCCTGTGCATCAAAGGAGTTCTCCAAAAAGGTAAAGAGAGAACCTACAGGTTGGGGAAAAAATGGTTAGCAACAGCATACCTGACAAGGGACTGATCTTTACAATTTGTAGAAAACTGCAACAACTCAATATAAACAACCCAATTTTTAAAAATGGACAAAAGACATTTCACCAAAGAAGACATTCAGATGGCCAATGAACACGTGAAGAAGTCATCAAGATCATTAGCTATCTATTGTTGTTGTTACATGCCATTGAGTTGTAACAGACTCAAAGCTGACTCTCCAGAAGGTTTTCAAAGGCTGTAAATAGCACAGGCGGAGGTTGCTCATCTTCCTCCCACAGGGTGGCTGCTGGATCAGAACCATGTGCCTTTGGGTTGGCAGCACAACTCCTTACCACTAAGCCACCAGAACTCGCTATTGGAGAAAGGCAAATCAAAGCCGCATTGAAACAGCATATTATATTAGCAACAATATCCCCTGCCATGGAGTCCGTTTCAACTCATAGCAGCCCTCCATTGGTTTGTTTTTTTTTTTTTGGTGTTGTAAATCTTTCTCCCACACAGTGCTGGTGGAGTCACACTGGTATGGAGAAAGGATTCAGCCGTGGTGCACTGTTGCAGAATGTTGGGGAGGATGGGACAGATCACCTAAGCTCCAGATAAATGCAAGTTTACCCACAGCCTTTAATACAGGGTAGGAAAAGCTCCCCTGTGTTTGGCTGTATGGGCTTGAGAAAGCTTGCCACCTGGTAAGATGGCTGTAACATCTATTGAGCTGGGAGTGGTCTGCACAAGGCTGAAGTTCTTCTAACCAATCCACATATCCCACGTCTGTAAGTCCACCCTATCCGGCCTTCCTGTTTACATGTTTGTATTTAAGTGCACTGCAGTCCCAATAAAATTGAGCTGGATTGACTCTCTGATCCTCTCCCAGAATGGTGTATCTGTTATGCTTACCCCCATCAGGGTGTCACTGTTAAGTTTCCAGCAAACAGACAGCGACAGTGCACATCTTTTTCTATTTTTAAACCATGCAGAGTTCCCTTGCTCTGTCTGGATAACAGCTTCTTGGTCTAGTTACTGGTTTTGCACTATCAAGTGTTCTGAGATCCCATTTACAATCCACATAGTCATATGCCTTTGATTATTCAATAAAACACAGACAGACATCCTTCTGGTATTTTCTGGTTTTAGCCAAGATCCATTTGACATTAGCAATGATATTCCTCATGCTGTGGAATTTTCCAAATCCATCCTGAATTTCTGGCAGTTTCCTGCTAATGTGCTGTTTCAGTCATTTGAAAATAATCTTCAGCAAGATTTTGCTTACATATAATATCAATGATATTGTTAAATAATCTCCACACTGTATTGTATCACTGCTCTTTTAGAATGGGAACAGATATAAATCTCTTCCAATCAGTTGGCCATAATGTTGTCTTCCAAAAGTTTCGGCACAGACTAGGGAGCACATCCAAAACTACATCCATTTCCCAAACCTTAAATTTCTGGGTTTGTTTATTTTTGGCCAGTGCTTTCAGTGCAGGTTTGATTTCCCCTATCCCCTTTTCTTTCTTTTGTAGAGGAGTTACTATTGACTCTTAGCTGTATTTGCTGCAGAAGGTCAAAGACCATGGTCTTCAGTATAGATTGAAGCTCAACATCAAGAGGACAAAAATTCTTATCACTGGGCCAATTGGCAGCACCATGATAGATGGAGAAGAGATTGAGGTTGTTAACAATTACAACTTGCTTGGCTCCACAATCAACACTTTTGGCACTAGCAGTCAGGAAATAAAAAAGTAAGTTGCATTGGGAAGTCTGCTGTTAGGGACCTCTCAAAAGTCCCAGAGAGTAGTGAAGTCAATCTAGGGACTAAGGTACACCTGATCTAGGCCATGGTCTTTGCAATTACTAGTTATGCATCAGAGAACTGGACAATGACTAAAGAGGACAGAAGAAGAATCAATGTCTTTGAGTTGTGGTGTGGAGAAGAATAATGAATATACTATGGACTCCCCAGAAAAAAACAGATCTGTCTTGGAAAGGTGAAACCAAGTTTCTCCTTGGAGGTAAGAATTTTGAAGCTCCATCTTACATGCTTTGGGTACATGGCCAGGAGGGACCAGTCCTTGGTGAAGGACATCATTCTTGGAAGGGTGAAGGAACAGTGCAGGAGAGAAAGCTCCTTGATGAGATGAATTGACACAGTAACTGGAGTGATGGGGGTAAGTGGGTTGGAGTCAGTGAGACTGACTCAGAATAGTGCAGGATTCAAAGCTATTATATGTAGGGTCACTATGAGTTGCAGGTGGCTCAATGACACATTACAGCAATAACAACTTCCTGAAATGGTTCAGTGTCTACTAGGTTTTTTAGTTGATTGACTCTGTGTATTCCTTCCATATTTGTTATACTTCTTACATCATTAAAGGAAATGTAAGAAAGAGAGGCATCTGAGTGTGACACAGAAAATCCAAGGAAAGCTAAAAAGACACAAATGCTAATGCTAACAGGATCTAGTCTCTTGAACACTTTCTTTAAAGAAGGACAGGTGACATGAGAGGGTAGAGAGACTGTTTCCTGTTACCTAATTGTCTTCACGCATCATATCTTATAAGTTGTGCAAGTTTTATTATATACTTAGATTTTAAATGTTTAAAAGATATTAAAAATTTATTTTAAGAGATTCAATGTAGGATATATGGAACCAGAATAGATCACCCTCAAACTCAGCAAAAGTTTGGCACAAATATTTTTACACAACTCCTCTGGTGCTAAACAAAAGGAAAAAGGAAACTAGAACAAAAAAAAAACCCAGATGATGGAAATGGAGTTCTGCAACATATAACTACATAACACATTGTAGAAAATAAAGAGCATTAATGAGGGTGTCTCCAGCAGTTGGCTTCATACTACAATAAGGAAAAGGGAGGCTGGTTGAACCTCTTGTTGGAGCAACACAAGCCAAATAGGAACATAAAAGCTCTTACAGCCCAAAGCAACTCACACACTTACACGCACATTCATTCACTCACTCACCCTCCTCCCAGCTCACCTCCTCCATTCCACTATGGCTGACACCTGCTACCCTGGATCCTGTGTCCCAGCTGCCTCCACCATGTCCATCTGCTCCAGCAACAGGAGCCATGGCAGCCGTGTCTGCCTGCCTAGTGCTTGTGTCAGTTCCTCCTGGGAGGTGGAAGACTGCCCTGAGTGCAGCAGTGCTCCCACTTACTGCACCCCCTCATGCTCTATTACCACCTGCTACACCCCAGTCCTCTGCCTGGCCATTGTCTGCACCCTGGTGAGCTGTGTGTCCAGCTCCTTCTGCTAGCAGTCCCATGAGTCCAGTTGCTGTCATGTGGTCTGCACGAGCTCCTGTGAGCCCTCCTGCTGTCAACAGTCTAGCTGTCAGCCTGCACGCCGCATGCCCATCTACTGTGAGCCAGTCTGCTGCAAAAGCCTGTCAGCTCTGTGACCATGTGCTCTGGGGTTGCCATTTTCCTGGCCTCTGCCAGGCACCCCTTGTGCTGTAAGCGCTCCTCCTGCACGTCCCTCATCTGTCGCCCAGTGTGCACTCCTGCCAGCTGTGCCCTTGCCTCCTCCTGCCAGCCCTGCTGTTGCCCCCCAGATTCCTGTCTGACTGTTGTCTGCCACCCTGTGTGCTCCCATGTAGCCAGAATTCCAGCTCCTAAGTGTGTACACTTCACTCGTCAGGGCCAGCTGGGTATTAGCAAAAGCACTGAGCTCACAGATACCAGCATTTAGCCTTCTCAGGAGTTTAAATTCCCAGAGAGGACACCCACAGCCTGTTTCCTTTGTGTTGTTGAAGATGAAAATGGCAACCCTTTCCCAGGATGGTCCAATGTGTCGCTGTCACAGCCACCCAGAACCTGGGTACAGGTTTGGAAAGTTAGTACCCTCCTTTCTGGCCTCATAAACTCTGCTTCATTATGTTGCAAACCTCCTTTTCTTCTGCGAGCATGTTGAAGACGGGGCCTGCAGCAGGAGTGCATACATATCAGGTCCTCCAGGGACCCCTGAGCGTACATTCCATGATACTCATGAGAAAAGAACCTGGAGAACCCAAGAAGAATCCAGAGCTTTAGAGTAAACCAGGGCAACCACGTTCACTCCTGCCTAAACTTTCAGCTGACCAAGTAAACTCCTTGCTGGTCGACCCCTATATCTGCTCCCACAAACTTAAGTGGAGACCAAGGCCTCTCCTCCACCAGGAGGCTCAGTGGTGTCTCTCCTCCACCAGCAGGCTGAGGGGTGCCCAGGCATCCTGTGCTCAACCAACAAGACGAGTTGACTACTGGAACTCACTCCAACTACTCCCTCTTCCACGGCACCCACAGCCCTCCTTCCTTGGTAGGGAACCTAGGAACATTGTGACAGTGTTTTGGTGGTAGGATGCTGTTGATCAAGGGTGTCCTCTGGTGGCCCCAGAGGCTACTTCTCCTTCTTCCTCCTAAGTCTCTGGTGCCACCAGTCCCAATGGCAACACCCTCAGATTCATCATGGCATCTACCACCCACCCATGCTCGTCACCAGGCCACCCGTCCCCTGCTGCTTTCCCCTTCTGAGAACAGTATGGCCCTAGAGCAAGACCATCTGGTCAGGAGCAAGTCTCTTCACAATTCCCCTTTACTCAGGGCCACTTCATGGACCTGCCTGGGATGCAATGACCTGAGCCTCTCCCACCTAATTCTTGCCCCGTGCCCCTCCTGTTGCAGGTGTCGGATGGCACTGCTGTCTGGGGCTCTTCCCCTTCTCTTGCCCCTTTGCTTTTTGTTAGCAGGGATGCACACTAAAGGCAGTGCTGCCAGTTTTATCCTCTTTACTTTCCATGAACATTTCCCCTCAATAAACTTCCTACTCATTTGACAGTGTCTTCTTCCTTGGAGGACTCACAGTGACTTGAGGACTATTGTCTTTGTACCACTAAGGTGGCCTCGAATCACATGCCTTCGGGATTGAAGCTCAGCTTCTTGCCACTAGGTCACCAAAGCTCCCTAAAAAGAGTAAGATTTCTAGAAATCAAAACCAAACAAAGATACTACCAGTTAAACTATGACCCAATGCTCCACCAATACTCATACATGTAAAAAGTTGTACCAAACCTTGCTGCCTGCAGACTGTTCTGAAAGATTTGGTATCTCTTTCTTCGTTTACATGTGTATTCATTTTAAAAAGCATAATAATAGTAGTCTTATCTACTTGTTATTTGTAGATATTATCTTTTCTTGAATTCTGTAAAGAATGTTCTCATAGTGATGGTACAAGAGGAGAACAGGCTCAATCAAGGGAATGCTTTTAATTCTTTGTGTTATGTTTGTTGATCGTCTCACCAGCCAGAGCAAACCTTATGACCAAACTGTGACTCAAGAAGTGAGGAAATAGGCTCTTCTTCCCACAGGAGAGGCAGCAAAGCCACAAGGATGGGTGAAGAATTGGGCCACTGGTGCCATCTACAGTAAGGTCCTTTAAAGCAAAACAAAAATCAATGCAGAGAGTTAGTCTAACCCTGACATAGGTGGTCAGCCTTTTTTTTGTACCTGACTCAGGTCATGGTCTTTTCAATCACCTGCTACTCATCTGAGACATGGAGAGTGAATAAGGATGACGGGAGAATGGATGCCTTTGAGCTGTGATGTTGGACTCCTAAAAAAACAGCTATGTCTTGGGAAAAGTGCAGTCAGACACTGTCCCCATTACCCCTGACCTGCTTTCTGGTTAACAGAAGCTAGTTATGGAGGTACTAATATACCAGGTTATGCAACATTGTGGAGAGGACCCTAGTCTGCTCCCCCCCAAAAAGAGAACACCAAGCTTTCAAGAGACTGGTAGCTATGTTTTATTTTCACCATGTCTGTAAACAGTTCTACAATCTGCTCACCTATCTATGAATTCAGGTTTTCAGAGCTTCCTGATAATATGTTGCTGTTCGATTGCTATGTATGTGTGTGTAAACATACATACATATGTAGCAAGACTTTAAAAATACGGGGGGAATGTTTGAAAGCTGAGGCTAATTCTATTTATTACTTTCCCATCCTAATATGAAAATGGGTTTGTGATTTAGGATGGAAGAGGAATGGAAGGGAATGTGTGTCATGTTCTTTATGATTTATTTATCATGTGAATTTGACCAAAAGCTTCTAATTACTATTTGTTATTGTTATCAGGTGCCACCAAGTCAAGTACAATTCATAGAAACTCTATGAACAAAAAATCTGAACCCTGTTTTATCTTGTTGCTGTCATCACACTTCCTGACACAGAAGAGCCCATTACAGCAGTTTCTGTGTCAAGCCACTTGGTTGAGGTTCTTCCTCTCCTTTGCCAACCCTCCACTCTTCCCACCATCAGATTCTTCTCCAAGGAATAGCATCTCCTAGTAACATGCCTAAATACGTGAGGCAAAACCTCATCACTCTTGCCTCCAAAGAGCACTCCAGCTGCACTCCCTCCAAGAACGTATCTGTTTGTTCTCTTGGCCATCCATGAGATGTTCAGTGCTATTCTCCAACACCACAGCTCAGAGATGTCAACTCTTTTTCCATCATCCTTATCCATTGTCCAGCTCTCAGATGCATAGCAAGTGATTGAAAAGACTATGGCCTGAATCAGACACATCTTAGTCCTCAAACTGATATTATTACTCCTCAATAATATGGAGAGGTCCCTAACTTCAGATTTTCCCAGCACAATGCATGTCCTTCTTTCCTCACTGCTGGTACTGAGGTTATAATTGTGGATCCAAGCAAGATGAAGCTGTTGACATTTTCAGTCTCCTCTCCATCCATCATGACACTGCCTATCAGTCCAGTGGTAATTACTATTTAGGAAGTATTTTGTAAGTGTCTGTCCATGTGTTCCCTATTTATGCATTTTGTTTATTAATGACTAGATGTGTAAGGTGTTTCTTAGTATGAGAGGATAACAAGAATGTTTGAGGTTTTTGTTCGTTTTTCTCCCCAAGTTGACCCAAATTAGAACTGCATGATCCTTCATTATTATAGACAAGGGGGTGTTTTAAATCAGGAGAATTCTTCTTTCATAGAACAGGTAAATTGTGCAGTGTGGGGAAATTTCCAGACAACATCTGTAGGTGGTTGTGCATAGAAAACAAATGTCACGGTCTAACTGAACTGCTCTAGTTGCAGTACTGTGGGACTGATCAACCCAAGTCTAGGATACAGAAAAAATTTTGTTCTGTGCACTCTTTGCCTATTATACATGGAATGTTTAGTACTATAATCCTGAATAGTTCCTATTTCTCATCATTTAATTCTTTTCATAAGCTTTTTAAAGCTTCTTAATCCATTTTAGTTCCATTATCCTTACTTTAAGAGAATGTCCAGCACAGTAGCCACCCCCGTTCTGTGTTCCAGTGTGTCATCAGGTCACCAGTGTTAGCTTTTTACACTGTTTGCTAAGATAGATGTTTATATTATTTATCTATAGACAACTGGTATGCTGAATAGATACATCCTGTGTCTGATATATGCGTATTACAGAAAACAAAGTCACATTCTAGAATGCCTTTTTTGTGTATTGTATATCTCTAGAAGGATGAGTGATTAGAAAAGAACAGAACTGGCCCCTGTGTAGATGTCTTTCAAGTAGTTTTAATCGTAACACATTAAGAGTCCATGGAAATTTGGAACTATCAGAGAGAGGAAAAAACAGTAAATAAGGGTTTGATCCAGCTGCTGGAGCTCACCACGATCTTTGGTGACAATTGCCTGGTTCTGAAGATTCACAAGGCCACTAGGTGTCCTGAGGGGGTAGTGTAGTCTGAGCACGTAGTAGTATTAGTAGAAGTAGTAGTAGTAGTAGATATTACATATTATGCACGTCAGTTGGTATAACACAGAATCATTGTTCTCCTGCTAGAACTCATCATGCACTTTGTTTCTATCCTCTGTGAAGTCTCCTTGGTAAAGCAAAATGTGTACTGTTTCACCAATTTATCATGACAAATTGACTATAGAGTAAAGTGCAATCTCAGAGCTAACTCTAAATGAGAATCAAAATATTGTGGGTGAAGGGTAGACTTAAAATTGGAAGCATTTAAGTGACCAAATTAAATTTTGTGAAACTCTTTACAATGATTCAATCTTTGCTCCTCTAGACATTAAATTAAAGGGAAACAAATTTGTAATAACTTTAAGCCATCAGCATTTCAAGTCTCTGAAACCAGCATTTAAGCAAATTCCTAGTACTTAGCAACTCTGCATTTCTTCAAATTGCTAATATTGTTTTTTAATGGATACGTGACTTTAGACTGTTGAAAGTATAAAGAAGAATTAAGATAACTAAGTAAACACATTTTATTAATGTTTTCTGTCTGTTAAGAATCTTTGTATATTTAATGTTTTAAATATCTGTAATATTTAAAATAATTTAGCATATTTGATTATCTAATAAAT